TTTATTTCAGTGTATAAGGCCGGATATGTATTGTTAAGATAGTTATTTACTATATCGATATACAGTAGAAACAGATGCGCATTACTGTAATTATTTATGGATATTAAATTATTTTATCGATCAACAGAAAATAATACGTAAATATGAGCATTGAAACGGTGAGTCTGTCGCTAATATGACCAGATCTCGCGTAACGGTGCCGAAAAAGGGGCTTCTCCAAAGAGGCGTTTAGAAATGTTGACCGATCGTTCCTAAATCGGCAACAAACAAAAGAAAACAAACAAACAACTAGCCTTCCCGGCTAAAAACAATACATAGTTTGTATCTTTATCCTAAAAGAAAACAACACACTTTATTCGCTTCTTTTATACACGATTCGATCGCTTTATCGCATCGATCAGCTTACAAATGCACTGAAACCAACTTCTAACAAACTTTCCTATGCCTATGCTCTACGTCACAATCACAATCGATCCATCGCTATCAAATTCGTGCATCGCGACGCGAAAAATGACATCATGCAATCGCGATCCGAAAATCTAACCCTAACAGTATGTATAATTTAACCTCCAATTAAACCTAATAATACTTGGAATTCTGTTGAATTGTAAATAGGTGCAAGACCGTCCTGTTGTTCGTCATCAAAATAAGCGTAATTACTATACATCCAACCCAAATTCGTATTTGAATTATGAAACATTAAACAAGGAGATCCGCTTGCACCAGGCCCTAAATCTAAATCATGCATGACATAATAATCATTTGCCAAATCTGCTTCTCCTGTCCACGTACAAATATTTTTTCCATCATTTGGACAATTTCCAAGATTACCTCCATCCGGATAACCGAGAATGGTTGTTGCAAAATAATCTCCTACATTGAACGACAAACCGAGAGATCCCGTAAAATCTTGCAATGGTTGGCCATCCTTGTTAAATCCAAACCTCAAAATGGCCCAATCAAAAGCATTTGCTTTTATCGCCTCATCGACAGGAATTAGATTAAGTGGACCAGGTTGTCCATGATCATATCCAGGAGAAAACATTATATCATGAAAAGGATTTTGAGTTATAGGATTATAAAGACAATGCGCTGCAGTAAGTCCAATATTCCCGTTTTCAGTATTGATTACACTGGCGGTGCAAAAAAATGGTTCGTCATTATCGTCACGCTTGTCACGCATGAATAACTTTCCGATGGGAAAAGATTGAACTTGATCCGCATTTACTTCACTAATTGTATTATTAATTATATCATATTTTCTCCCCGAAGGGGGCCTATATTCCGCGTATTTAGAGTCAGTTGTATTTCTTCTAGTTTCGACAACATTTCTTGTTCTAAATCTTGTATTTATAGTTAAGGGTTTTGCTTGTTTGATTCTTTCGGGTGTCCAAAAATCAAGATTCGTTGGAGTTGAATAACTTGAATCGATTTTGAAGGTTAGCACAACCAATGCAGTTAAGAAATAGAATATAATTTTTTTATTCATTTTTTATTATTAATCAATGTTAATTTTGATAAAAAATATATATATCGGAGAATTGATTTTGGAAAAACAGACTACGAGAAGATAATGTTGGATGATTTTTTAATGGCTTTTTATATTTAAAAAATTACCGTAATGTTAATAGTAATTTACCGGTCCCGGGGGGTACTAATTAATTTTTAGAGCCCTGGAATGTAAGAGACCCGAGGTACTATGTATTTGCGTATTTGACAATTTATCAGTTAATAATTTTGAATAAGGTCATCCTTACCAAATATTAATCTGGAGTCCGAGAGCAACCGTTGTGAGTCTGTAAATCAGTAATTGTCCCATTATGTAAAATCATGTTACAATCGTTCTGTCAAATAACACCATCATGAGCTACTAAACTGCTAAAATCAACCGTTTTATATGACCTATTTCGATAATCATGAAAGAACGTTTATGCTAGTCTAAATGATCAATATACTGTATACGCGAAATACAGTATTGTTTAGATGCGATACTCCATGAGTCAAGATCATGTATGATTAATAGGCTCTAGAAAAAAAAGAATATATTAATAAACTTAAATGATAATAGAATGCTCTTTGACCCTCTGATTTATGTCATGTCTTTACATTAATATGCGCAAATTAAACGGTCTGATTGTGTATAAGTTTCACAGGTATTTAAATCACAATAAAACCTTCATCATCGTCGGAAAATTCACAGGATCTCCAACCATCTTTATCATCTTTATTGTTATCGTCGGAGAATTCATCATCATCGGCGCCCTTATCACATGAATTTTCATCATCAAAGGAACCCGAGTCAAAATCCAAAGAACTAGATAACATTATCATTATATCCATTAAATTCTGCATTATGGGAAGATTGGTAGTGTTACAATCCTTAAGTCTTTTTTGGACATTTTCCAGGTAAAAGAATTCGGGACATTCGAACCCCTTATCCTCACAAAGCTCCTGCCTTATCGCTTGTTCTTTATTTGATGCATCACTAATGTCTGGGTCATATATATCTTCTAATGTGATTAATTTAGCATCGAGTTGGCTTTCGAAGCAATTAAAGAAGTGAAGATTGGGCTATATCGGTAGGGCCTGCTTTGGCTAAATTACGAGCCAATTCATTTATCTCTTCAGGCTCAAGATTATCTTCATTCTCTTAAATATACAAAGCAAGTTTTTTAACTGGATCCCTACCTGTAACGCATCTTCCAGAAGTTTGGATAGGAATTAAAGCATACGTATGTTTGATCTTTACTAAATCCTAATTTCTGGATTCGATTTCGTGAGTGATCACGGGCCTTTGCATCTTTCAAATTTTTAACCAATTCTTCAGCATAATTACCTAGTTCGGCTATGCTCATTTTGGGGGTTAAATTATAATAATGTATATATCTTGTTGCTATTTTCGACATGATGTTGTTGGGATAGATTTGCGGACTATAACTATGGAAAAATTTTTTTCAATTCTAAAATTAATTATCCCATGTTCAGAAAAAGAGCGTACATGCGTATTAATTCTTGGATAGATCTTCTATTTGAAATTTACCAATATACATATTGTAACGAAAAAAAAATTATAGCTTTGGAGTTGTGATCCAGACCCTTAGGGGCGATTTTACAAGTCATATTATGTTTTATATTTTAGTATAATGCTCGAAATAGAATTAAAATATGCTCTGACTCTAGAACGTCTGCCTTGATGAATGCATCGTACAAAGCATTCGGTCTGTGCTTTGATGGGGTTAAATTAGAATGATGGAGGAATTTTGCGAGTATATCATTCCTCCATTCATGCGTTTTACTACCACTATTCCAGCGCATTTCTAATACAGTAGTTTAGATAAGCTATAATCGGGATATCCCATCTGAATCAGATTATGTAATGCGGTTTGTCCATTTTTTTCAATATCCAGTATGTTAATCCCTCCTCCAACTACGTTCGCTATAGAAATAGGACATCTTTTACATATATCTCTACTTTTCATTAAAGTTGAAATAGGAGGAATCAAAGCGGGATGGAAGAAACCAGCTAAGGGATAGATCGTACCATAATCGCCGATATCTATCGGTGGGGCATCTTCCAAATAATCTGAAAGATCTTCGAAATGTTTATAACCATCACGTAGAAGCTTTTTATATAACTTTGATCCGACGGCCTGTGGATAAGTTATATCCTTCTTCTGGGATGTCAAAATACTCGTCATTCATTTTGTTCGTAGTATATAGTCTCAATACGTATATATTTGATTATATTATTACAATATAGTGTTGGAGGTCACGTGGGTGACTCGATTTACGCGTAACGGTTTAGAACCTAAAAACGAAAGTCTGGCATGTAAGATTGAGTGTTGCAAGGTAAGAAATTATGGATTAAGGCCTGGGTACTGATAAGGGAACTGTTTGTGTATGACGGAGTATGGAAAGTTTAGCAAAGCTTAGAGTTAGCATAGCCTATTGTAAAGTAGATAGCCCATTGTTAACTAGAAAAGCCTACCAATGTAAGCTAAATGTGCTAAGACAACCTTCATTGAGAATAGAGATAATTGTTAGTATCGTACAAAAGAAACAGAACGCGAATAAAAGAGACACTTACCCTTGGCCAAGTCAATCACCACATCTCTGCCTTTCTTAAGTGCTCTTTGCAAGAGGCGTTCTCTTCTTTTAGTATGGCTGTGTGAGTTTATTGTTGGTTGTTTGGGTTACGCGAGGCGCTACGGATTAGCGACGGACTCGCCGGTTTAGCCCACAACAATAGTTTGGAAAAGTTTAAATTGATTTTTTATATTTAACAATAATCTGTACTAAAAGTGGAACGAGTTATATACGTTATATATTACTGTAAAAACACTTGAAATGGGATGCACAACCGGTCAATACGTTAAAGGGGATGATTTGGAACATTCAACATATCAATATGTTAAAAAAGATAGATAGTTCGGGACGTTCAACCTGTCCATATGTTAAAAGAGATGGTTCTATTTGTGGAAAAGGTTGTTTGCGAGAAATAGGGTGTTCGTTACACTGGAAATTATATTATAGGAACATAAAGAAATTTCCCTGTGGGATTTGTGGAGAACGAACAATCTCTGGTACGGGGGTATTGTCCTAAACACGCGAAGAAGATTTATTTTCGAAATTGGTATGAGAAACAAAAGACACAGAGAATAGAAGCGGATGCGTAATTATATAGAACTTGATTTTAGGCGTCACAAAAATGGAGATATTGATAAATCACATATTTTTTACAAGTTTTAACGTCACAAAAACCCCCTTTGTAAGATATATTACGGATCCTAAATGCTCGTTTTAAACATTATCAAATAGGTCCTAAGTATTTTGTGAACCAGAACTGGGAGCGATTTCTAGTTCATCGGGTGAGAGTTTACTATACCCATAACGCATATCCTCACCATTTTCGTAGAATTGTCCTTCACCCATTTGATATGGAGGTAGTTTTGGAGCATCTTCATTATCAATCATCCCCACTAGGTGATAATGTCTACGATTATTATCTATTGTTTTAAATTTTATTCCATAAACCTCACCAGTACGGTATTTAATAACCCCAACTTCGATTTTAGTAATTTTAAACCAGGTTTTTTAACACTACGGGTTACATCTGTTTTATTAAAAACCCGTGTCATTTTAGGAACTAATTCTTGGAGAAATTTCATAGATGTGAAAGATTCTAAATACGTTTTTATATCACCGGCTTTGTATCTATGTCTATCATCAATATCTTTAACAGGTGTACAAGTTTCTAATAGTTCTAGGCAAATACGATGTTTTTCGGCCAAAGTGACAGTGGTAAGCCTATCTTATATATAATCTTTATGGATAATGGCTTCAACTGCTGTCTTATTATCAGTACCTGTATCTCGTAATTGTTTATAAGATCCGAACCATTTCATATGATCACGCTTACCATAATCTGTGATGAATTCTTCAGTTAAAGATTCAGGTGTCATTCCATAACAATCCGCTATATGATATCAATCTAAAGCATGTATTTCTTTCAGAGTTTTCTTCGGCTTATTTTCTAAGATCTCGGCTGACTCATGATTAAGTATATCGGCATTAGCTATTTTTGATATTTCTTCTGCTTTAGCGATTGAAGAACATATTTTTACATTTTCAGTTAATGACGCAGAATCTTCTTTGGATTTAGAGTCGGATTCTATAACAGAAACTATCATACCCGCCTTTTTAAGAAAATCCACCATTCTCCAGCCAAACAGACGTTGGGAACGGAATTTTTCTAACATATGTGCTACTCCTAATCGAACAGTTGGGACGTCTTTATTTCTGATAATCGACTTTATATCTGGGAATACTCCTCTATTCTGAAGCTCTTGGGGAAGACATCCATGTCTCGCGTTCGTTAACCATTGGAACAACTCCTCTTCCGTAATCGGGGCTTTAGATGATCTTTGTTCGATATAACATACGTATGTAGTCTTTAATGCATCGCATGCGAAATAACACCTGTATATAGCTGTTGAAGATACAAAACCACGCTCAAACTTAGGATTGGTGCAAGAAACTCCTATCTTCAATGTACTGGTATATGCGACGAAATCAACATTTTTCCATGCATTATCTACATCTCTAAAATCTTGAGTTTTCTCTATTGCGTCTGTCTTATTATGATACTCTTTTATACGCAATGCTGGGAAATCGGATCTAAGAGCTAGAACAATACCCTGAATATTTCTCTTCTCATGACAGATAAGAGATGCACTTTTCCGCTCCTCAAAAGGTAATGATGACATTTGCTTAGCCCAATCTCAAAGCTCTATTAATACAGTTTCTTTATTGGAAGCGAGACGGAATGGTTTACCTTTCTGAGGTTGAAAAGTATTGTGGATGACTGAATATTTCCTATTTGGTCGTAATGCTTTAATCCATCTATATTTCTATCAGTAAGATCGTTATCTAATGTAATTATCAGACTTGCATTATAAATTAATTCAAATAGATTAGCAAGAGATATTGATCCTTTAAAATGGCTTTGTGTTTGAGCAATAATCGATACAATCTCATCTAACACTAAGATAACAGGATTTTTGGAACATTTGCATGTTTTATCACATTTACATTTATTAGTAATGCGGTGTAGACTTTCTACCTGACACACTACTCTTTGATATTCCCTCAGATTTATAGGTTCATCAATGTCGCAATATGATTCGAGGTTGAGCCTAGTGCTTACAGCATCTGAATAAGTATGTCGAGTCGATACTACCAGTAAGCTTGTATTTTCAGGAATATTAATTTTTCCATAGCATACGTTTTTCCAGTTTCCCGAGGTGATCCTACATAAATATCGTTTTCTTTAGACAGAGGTTTTACATACCTTTCTTTATATTTTTCTGTTGCGGTAAGGTGCTCATCACACTCTACCCAAGAGGGCATTTCTAAGAAGGGTTTTGGGAACTTGGGACTCTTAATTTTTCGAGAAATAGGTGGTGAGATATTATTTTTATTTTTTTGCTGTATTTTTTTCTGCAATAGATGAGTCATTGAAAATTTTACCTCGTCCTTCTTTATTTTGTTGGAAACACTTTACAATGAATGACCCATCTCTCAGTACATGCCCATGCCATTTTTGATCCTTGTTATGGACACGTTTACAGAGGGGACATTCTAAATATGTTTTTCGATTAAAATATACAACCATTTGAGATCCTCTCTCTTCAATATCCCAACTCCCAAGATAATCGAAATATGTCTGCAAAACTAGATTCGCATATTTTTTTAATGCATCTTGATTTTTTATTTTGCCACTAAGTATACGAGGCCTTTTTTCATGTCCCAAACTAGCGGGTGGTTGAACTCTAACATCATTGAGATTTTTCCAACCGTTATCTAATGAGAATTGAAGGATGCGCTTTACGCGATCTTTTTTTGCAGAACCTATTAAGCGGAGACAGAAATTTCTACCAAGTAGACCCCTATCAATAAACTTACCATATTTTTCCCCCGTTAATTTATGTACCAGTTCCGTAAAATTGCTTGAGTTCCAGATAATCGATAAGAAGCACCGGAGCATATAAAAGATGATAATTACATTTATTAGAATCAGATGATGTTGCAATTACTAATCCTTTAAAAATCTCCTCCCAACTACATTCAAGGATTCGATATAATGCCCTCACAAGGAGCAACAGATTCTAATGAACACATCTCTAGCGGTAACCTTTTCCACATGCATTTTTTCACTAGAGGCATCGATTTCAATCACAGCTCTTAAAGATTGTTATCCATTAATACACTCATGTATGCCTGATACGTAAACTATATACCTCGGATATATCATCTATAATGGAGAATTTTTTATATTTACCTTTTTCTATCTGGATAATAATTCTATCCGCTAATTCTTCCCTTTTATATGCATCTAATATACTGATTCCATTTTTTGTTCCATTGTTAGGTAAGAGATAATCCCATAAATATACAGTATATCCTTTAACGAGTCTTTATCGTTTGACATATCTCTGGCGGGTGAGGAAGCAATTTCACGAATTCTATTTAGTAGATCCATTTGAGTAAACTTATTATCTAATTTTTCTTGTCTTTTGGTAGAGACAGTTGCAGGGCGACTGGAACATGTAAGGTTCACTTTTTCTGTGGGATATGACGAATTAGACTTTTGGTTTTCTATATTAGGGGACTGGGGTGGTGATGACTTAATAACAGTTTCGTTATCTGACTCATAATCAGATCCGTAATCATTATAGTTTTCTGATTCACATTCAGATATGCTGTCACTGGAAATATCTGAATCACTCAAATAGTTTTTGGCTTCCCCGCCCCCGTACTCGATGTTTTGTGTGCTCATTTTTTTGCTATGTTAGAACTTTTGGTATGTATCAGTTTTAGTTTGATTATTTTATTACAATATAGTTTGGAAAAGTTTAAATTATTTTTTTCATACCTGGTATTTGTGAGGGTGGTGTAATCTTCGGATATAGTATATATAAAAATGGGAGAATACACCCTTTTCGATAATGTGTGATCGGGTAGCTAACTTCGGGAATATATTATATAAGAAAAATGAAGAAGGTCACCCATTCGATGATATGTCATCGGGGTATGTGATCGGGTAGCTAACTTAGGAGATATATTTTTGTGTTTATGATTATGATGACTATCCTCGGTAATATATTAAAATAATTATGGAAGAAAGCTTCATATCAAA